GAAAGATGTTTTGTGTGAATAATTTCTTTGTTTCCAGGGTCCTTGTTACTCCTATGTATATGTAAATAAATAAACAAGCCATTCCCACCAAAATAACCACCAGAATGGATTACCCACAATACACCACTGACCCATATGTATAAATAGTCGAGGAAAAATCTAACACTCAGGGCCTGACAATTGCGTCTAGCATGAAACAGCCTGTTGCTCCTGAGTGTTGACTTCAATGTTACATATGCTCTATCTCTGATATTGAGCACTTTATCCCATAAATATAGCACACCTTAAGGCTATATTTCTTCATCGTTATATATATATATATATATCAATTGCTGATACATCCTGATAAAACTATGGAGTCAGGATACAGCTAAGTGAAAAAATATTTTTAAAATTATTCTTTCAAAAAAGTTTTGAAACTGCCTGCGTCTCTCATTTCATGCATACGAGTAGATGTGACAACATCAACAAAGCCCAGTCTGATGAAATCCTAATGGATGAAATGAATCTCAAAAACAGTTTCCAGTTTGTCATATATATATATATATATATATATATATATATATATATATATAAAATCAAACAAGAATTGTTAAATCTTTAAAATGGTGAATTTATAACAATACCAAAAGAAAAGCTGATCCTACATTTATGCATTGCTCAAGTTTTACAAATGAAGAGAGAAAGAGAAAGAGTGAGAGAATCATTATGCGCTTATATATTTTCTGATCAATATGCTGGTTTGTTTCTGTTTTGATAAAGTAAACATCATTTTTCTTTCTCCATCTGCCCTTTAACGAGTAAGTAATTTAATCCCATTGTTTACTTAAATGCTTAATACTGATTAATTGCAAAAAAAAAAATAGAAAAGGTGTATCAAAAATACCTTAGCAAAAATATAGCTGACTGACTTAGCAACCGATTTAAAAAGGAAGGCTGAAATGTATTATTTATTCCCTGGTTAGGCTACATAAATAGACAAAAAAATATTATCTCATTTTTCATTATTTGTATACATCTACATCTATTTATCCCGGTTTGTCCACATCTGCCAATACTTGTCTGTTCACCCAAGTTTTGTACATATCTGTCTGTTCCAGTCTGTCCACATCTGTCTGTATCTATATCTGTCCCCATCTTAGTCTGTCCACACTGGTTTGTCCAAACCTATCTGTCCCAGACTGTCCACCCTGGTCTGTTCACATCTATCAGTTGTTTGTTCTAGTCTGTCCACATCAATTTCTACTTGGCAGAATATATAAATAGTACTGAATTTTTGTTTTTTAATTCTCTCTTCGTTTTTCTTGTATTTCGTTAGTGCATGTTTCTGTACATATGTACACCCATGTCTGTGTATTATAATTAATATATGTGTTTGTGTGTGTGTAAATTTCAGTTATAAATGAAATATATGACAATAAATATGTTAAAAATTAAAAGGTAATTCATAACCTTCTGTTACTTAAAAAATATATAATACATGAATTTATCTCATACAAAATAATTTAAATATTAATTGCATAAAAAAAGTCAATAGCATCATCTACTCACTTTTGTTTATCAGATATTAAATTACATCACTTAGCATTCTCCATAATTTAAATTTACTTTCAGTTAACCTAATGAATATTTATGAGTGTCTCTTAAATTTAAAAATTTAATAAAATTGGTAACATTTCTAATTTTGTTTATAAATACTTGTAAAATAATATCCTCACATTTGCCTTGATAAGTCCATCAGAGGACAAAATATAATGGCTAAGATAAATTTTCCTTTTATCTTTATTGGAAAATCAATAAATGATGCATTTCACTGACAGCATCAGATCTCTTGGGCTTCCTTAGGTTAGAATAAAAGAAAGACAAAACTGTGAAAAAAAGGCATTAGGGTCTTTGAGGATAAGTGGGGATCATAAATCAAATTAAGTTACCTTATTACATCCGATATCTAAACTCAAGAGAGTGTCTGTCTGCATATTTGTTTGTTCTTGATATAATGGAATATGCGTACACCTGTCTTCCCCCTCACTGGAATATGATTGGCTGGTGTCCATCATAAATACTGATGTTACGTGTAGGTACGAGAGTCAAGAGCCTTAGTCTGAGAGCTAAGTCTATAATGATGCCCATTGGACTATGCCATTGATCTACACTTTTTACCTGAAACTACAACGCATACCAGTTGATTACTGCTACCATATTCTACTTGGTTATAGTAGCCAAATCAAATTAGCTACTTCGTTCAAATATATCCCTTTCCGGGACATATCAGTTTTATATATATAAAACAAATTCTGGTCATTTTTCCTCATGTATAGTTTTCTGTTTCTTTCATCCTAACTTGAGTAAGCCAAAGTAAGCAGATGTTCGCAGCAAAACACATTGTTTATTGATTTTCTATTTGTCTTATCATCTTCATCTCTGTTTTGGAAACATTTATATATCCTACAAACACACTCACAATCATGCATATATACATATATATATATGATATAACAATATATAATTTTGTATAATTTTATATATCAATAAACAGTTGTTACTTCTAAACATGCACATGAAACAAGAGATGCTGGTAGTTTCAAAATTTTTGAAAGAATATTTTTTCAATTTAACCAAATTCATATGCATTGTTTTTTCTAATTCCAAGAAAATGCATGCCATCACTTGAAATTTCTTGAGATTGGTTCTTTTCAAAATATTTTACCTAAACAATCAACATACTTTTGATATATTGATGATACTCTATTAATACCTGTGATAGTGATTGACCTGGTCTTGTAAATAAACTAAACAAAGTTGAACAAACAAAAGAATTTACATACAAAATAGAAAAAAAAAAACAATACTTTACCTTTCTTAGACATCATGTTAAACCGAGTTGATAAAATCCTAAAACTTAGTATCCACCGAAAATCAACCAATAAAAATGACTTAATAAAATTCTACTCCCATCATAACAATAAAATAAAATCTGGAATGATCATTGGATTCTATTTAATAGCACTGAGAATTTGCAGCCCTCAATATTTACATGAGGAGAAATACATTAAAAATACTTTCAAGACCCTTTAATACCCTAACTATTTCATATTCACTGTGAAACAAAGGCTCATAAAATATTTCAAAATAGAAGAGCTTGCCTTCCTGACAAACCCAACAAATCAAAAAAATATGAACCCATGAACTCCATCAAAACTACAACTGAAAAGAATTTATCTAAACTCAACATAAAATTTGTGACAACTACATCTAAAACAATGAAAGACTTAATCAATAAAAAACAAAACAAGCTAAAACTTGATGGAGGAAATTAACTCTATTAAATGCAGGAATTGCCAGAATGAATATACTGGAGAAACCTCAAGAAGTTTAAAGAGACTATATGAACACAAAAGGAACATTTTAAAAAATAACACACAAAATGCATTCATGGTTCACTATAATGAAACTGACCACAATAGGGAATGCTACTTTGATTAAAAGATAAAATAATCCACTAAAATGAAAATGCATGAAAGGTGCCTTGATCACTAGTTCAACCACAGTAAATTTGTGTCCAGGCTCTTACAACATGTCAACATTCTTAGTAAATTTTCTGTTGTCACAATGTGGGATAGTTATGGACAATGGTGATGGAGAGAAAAAGAAAAAGAATACAAATGAATTTAGCTAGATTGAAAAAATATTCTTAAAAAAAAAAACAAGGGATTATTCTTTCAAAATTTTTGAAACTACCAGTGTCTCTCATTTTGTGTGCATGTGTAGATGTGACAATATCAACAAAGCCTGGTCCAAGGAAACAGATGAAATGCATCATGAAAACTTTTTTTCCAATCTGTCATACTATTTTTTCTAAATATATATATATATATATATATATATATATATATATATATATATACACACATACACACACACAAATCAAAAGTTGAAATGGTATTTCACCCTCCAGCACCCACTATATTCTCCTGACTTGACTCCTTCAGATTTTCATTTGTTTTGGTCTCTAAAGAATAATTTAAATGACAAAAAAGTTGACTGTATGCAGTCAATTGAAAACTACATCACAACCAGACCAATAAAAAAAACACAAAGCTCATAGACTAGCACTACCAAATAACAAAGAACTATGCCAAATAATAGGAACCACTTCACTGAAAGACTTTCAACAGCAGCAACAACTGAAGTGGATAGCACATGTAACTCAGACCAAAACTTCAACACCCTTGTTTGATGCCTTTGCCACTTAATGACCCCAGAAATAGAAAATATGATTAGAAATTATTAAATAAATTCACCCTCATAGAATAACAAATGTCAGAGTTATTGATCCGTTTATAAAATCCTCAATAATATTTTTGTCAGTTCCTTCATAAAATGAATTTTCCCCTCAATTCAATTGCATTTTTTTAACAATAATCAATTTCACCCATCTTAAATAACACATTGTAATTCTGATAAGGAGAATTTATTAACATTTTGCAAACAATCATCAATTTTTACATATTTATAAGGATGCCATGAATGATTTGACTTAGGAATTTCCTTTCTGTTCTTTTTAGGACAATGTTTTGGCCAGTGTGGTCGCCAACCTTCCTCAGGTCTATCTGTTAGTATTCTGTTTTAAGCCTTATAATAACATAAACTAGAACAAATTGCAGAGCCAAGAATAAAAGGTTCCTGCTGATAAAACTTAGCTGAAATTTAGTGATAAAAGAAGAAAAAAGATAAGGATTTTAGTTCAAATAATTCCTAGAATAATAATATTGTTTCATTCTAGAACTTCAAACAAGACTAGAAAGGTTGGAAAATATATAGGCTAAAAAGTTATGATCGAGACAGCAAATATGATAATACTAGGCTGATTAATTCACAGCAAGATGATAATATTAAGAATTTCATTTGATAACATAAATTTAAATATATAAATACAATTTGCTTCCACTTAGAGATATAAATATTTTTAAATTTTACTTTTTCATGAGCAAGATGTATACATATTGCATTTATTTGTAGATAGATAGATAGATAGATAGATAGATAGATAGATAGATAGATAGATAAACATATTTAGATAGATAGACAGACATAGAAATAGACTGAGATAGAAAGATAGAAATAAACAGTCTTAGATAGACACAGGCCTGACCAATTTTGAAAATATTTTTTTCAAATTATTATCAAATGACAAACATAAGAAATTATTCAGTAATGTCTTGTGCAAAAAAAAAGACTTAAGTTTAAATTTAGTGTTCAATATTCTGTCTAATATTGAAAGATCTAGCAAAAAGAATTTTTAACAAAATATTAAGAAATTCATTTCTGGAACTCAAAAGAAGAAATTATCTAAGTTCAGAAATGATTGCAAATTTTTATTCTTTATTGCTAAAATCTAATTACTTATTGAAATGACTGAATACTCTTAATGGGGCTAAGAGCTTTTCAAATGATAGAAAAGTGGTTTGCCTAAGTACTTACTTTTTAATTCTTTTCTTTCTCAGCTACTATAACATACCAGATACAAGTCATTTTGTCAAGACTGCCAGCAATGGGATAGGGTGTATGGAAAAGATTACGATTTTCCCATGATTACAAATGTGAAAATTATAGCAATATATATGTCTCTTATATATCTATGTACAGGCATCATTTCATTAATGTGTTTTTGATTAGTGTGCTAAAATTTTTATATACCAAAATTCAATTAGTGCATAAATAATACTTGATTAGTGCAGTAAAATATTCTTCAGTTTAACCATAGTAATTGAAAATTGATTCTTTTATAGTTACCGATGTACTCATTAGCCATACTAATTGAGGGATTCCTGTATCCTGTGTGAAATGGCAGGTCTGTGAAGAGGTCATTGATATTGCAGATTTTTAGGTTTTATGCCAGAAACATTCACAAAATACAGAAAAGAAAAACCAAAAGAATTAAACAGGCACTTTTGTAAGAATCTTTATGTGAGGGAATTGGTGAAACTTCAAAAAGTTAATCTATATGTGCACAGAAACATAGCATCTGTAAACAGCAAAAGGGGGTGACTAACCTGACCACCTTCTTCCTGGATTCCAGCCTCTGGGGGGCAAGAATAACTCCTCAGGTCGCCCCATTTTTTTTTTCACCTGTTAGTGGCACCCAACATTCGTATTACACCTAGACTTTGTAGTGTCATTAGTAATAATACACACAAGTCAAAAAGACAGTTTGTTAATGACCTTTAATTCATTCATTCATTGAAATGCTTTATCCAGTGTCACTACTTCTGATAGAGCCAATTAAAACAAAGTATTAATACAAAAGATTAGTAGCCTAAGTAGAAAATAGTAATACACATGACAGAGTTTAACCTTGCAGTGTGACATAATAAGTTAATGTTAGATGTTTAAAGTTAGATTATCAAGAATTAAAAATCATACCTACTCATTATTAGCTTTTTACAAGTTTGTTAAAAAACAACTCAAAAGAAAGTCTATTGGTTTTCTCATCAATCTATAGCTATGTCTGTGTTCAGACTTATAAGGAGTTACTTAGGTGTGCTTACAGCTGAATCAGTTATAAATATTATTAAATATCATCATATAACATATGTACTTGCCCCTCCCTTCCTTCACTAGTTCGTATGACCATTACATGTTCCCAATATCACATAAATAATGGACAATTCTGTTTTGATCGTGTGGAAAGAAGGAAAAAGACACTACTTGGTTTCAGTGAGAAAATGAAAGAAAGAAAGAAAAAAAGAAAGGAGGTAAAAAAGAGAAATGTTTAACATCTGCCAATACCTCATAAATAATGGACTATTCTGTTTTGATAAATAATGGACTATTCTCTTTTAATCATGTAGAAAGAAGGAAAAAGACACTACTTGGTTTCAGTGAGAAAATGAAGAAAAGAAAGAAAAAAAGAAAGGAGGGAAAAGAGAAATGTTTAACGTCTCCTGCCAATACATCATAAATAATGGACTGTTCTGTTTTGATAAATAATGGACTATTCTGTTTTGATTCAATGGGAAAACAAAAGATATATCACTATTTGATTTCAGTGAGAAAATGAATGAAAGAAACAAAGAAAGAAGAGAAGATAGATGTGTTTAATGACAGTTTCAGTGAAACAGAAAAAGTTGTTAATTTCAAATCTTTTCATTTGTACCCACTTCTTAAAATAAGAACCAGCATTCAAATATTTAACAATGCAATAGAGGGAATTTCTACAGATATTTTATTTTCATAGAATTCACCATGAGCTTATTCAATCATTAACTGAAGAATTAAAATTCATCAGAAATTTCAAATAGGAAAACCATGAAATTTTCACGGGTAAAAACAGTTGAGCCAAAGTTATCTCAAATTGTTGCCATGAATACTTGCAAAGATAAAAGCCATTAATATACAATATTTTGATCTCAGATCTATACCACAAAAGACTGGATTCACCAGGCTCTGATCAAGATCACCACTGAGAGCTAGGGATCTTCACAAACTTGAAATATTCAATCACTTCTGTTTGTGCTAAATTCTCTGCATCTGGTAACACTTCCTCTCAAACACTGCCATCAGCAATCCCTGGAAAAATTAGCTCTCTCCAACAAGCTCTGCTCACAACGTGACTTCAGTGGTTTGGCCATGCTCTTTGTCAACAACCAGGAGAATTTATCCGTAAGGTCATTGCTCCAGACACCCCCAAAATTTGGTGAAAGTGGCATGGTGGATAATTAAAAATGTGACTTTTAAATGTGACAGTTAAAGAGAATGTCGAGCTATTCATGGGTCCATGTGTGTTCTGGATTGATTAGCTCTTACTGATTCAAGTGCATCCAACCATCAAGTTTGATCAACTTTCATTCAGGATCTGGCAAATTTGTTTGACAGAGCTGGCTCAACTGATCCCAGGTGAATACTGCAACAAATACAAGTAAGTAATATTTTGATCTCTTTCTCTATGCTGTGGTAATTTTTGAATTCCTTAGTATCAAGGATAACTTACAGACAGATTTTAAAAATGCTAAATAATATGCACCACTTATTTAAGATATAAAGAATTGACACTGATGCTGGATTCTATGAATATTTTTTTTTGACCTAGCTGAGGGTCAGCATTTTGTTTGAGCAGCATTTCAGCTGGTGACTTTTGTCATCTTCAAACAGCAGGGTGAGTAACTTTTCATTATTTTAGGCTATAAATTTGAAACAGAAACTGAAATTAGATTAACTGTTCAAAGTTCAATGTTTATGATGTAGTCATCTATTCATGTCAATGTTTATTTGAATTAAAAACATTCAGCAATTGTCTAAAGAAGTATCAACAAATAATATTTTTTGTAATCAAAAACATGACAGAATGGATCCCCGACCCTTAAAAAATACATTAATAATCATCCTTAACTCTTTGACTTGCTACCATAACATCAGTACATTTAAAAGGTGGGGAAGAGACATGGAGCAACAGAAATCTGGTTTTACAGAATGATACTGAGGATACTATGTAAGCAAAGATGAAGTTCTAGAGACAAAAGCAACAAAAAGAATATTTTACTTAACATCAGGGAGAGACAGTTGAGGTTTCTGAGATACATAATGAGGAAGGAGGGCTTCAGAAATTTGATACTCACAGGATAGATTGAAGGTAAGAAAGACAGAAGAAATCAATGCACAACCTATCTTGTGAGCTTGACTGAATGGATGGTGGAGCAGGGTATTGGAGAAATGACAAAAAGACAAAAGTTATTAACAGCTACATGAGACAGGAAATTGTTGAGAACCATGATTGGCACATAGAGAAAAAGGAGAAGCTAGTTCGCTATTACTACTGAGTACTGAATTTGATCCTAACTGGGTGCTGTAAACAAAATTTGATAATAACTGAACTAGGTTTGACATGCAAAAAATCAACCAACCAAATCACAAAAAGGATTAATCAAATATATTTGAAAGTCTCATAACTTCTTACACTATTTACATTGTTCGTACATCATCTTTATTGTCACATTCAAAACATTTCGGCTTTTGTATGCTCTGGCCTTCTTCAGGTGATATTTGCTGGAATTTTAAACTAAACTCATTATTTAGTCTATTGGAGTATATTGTTCTAATTGCGCATACCATGCCTTTGGACGTCTTAGTTTCAGTTAATTTACTTTGATCAGTTTTTTGTTCTCGCCACCTCTAAGGTTTTTGTTCTTGGGATTGAACTCACAACTGTTTTGTTCAAGTCACTTTTAAGATCAATCAACAAATGCTTTTATCCACTAGACCATGTCTCATAACTTGTCAAATGTCTTATTTTTAGAGAAATATTTTGGGTAATATTTTATAAAAGAAAAACTAAAAATTGCATAGTTTACTTTTCCTTTGTTGAGTGGACAAAATAAATGCTTAACACGTAGCTAAAAAAAAAACAAAAAATGAAACCACAAAGCAAGCACACCAAAAAAGAAAGACTGAAAAAGAAAAAAAAAATCAATCCATTGGAATTATTCCAGATTCAGGAGTAATAATATCTACTTAACCTCTGAAGTAATTTGTTCAGTTAATAAGTTGCAAAAAAATGCAAGTCTTTAATGACAAAAGGTTAAGTTTTCATCAGCAGTTTAGAGGTCAATTGTTAATATTTAGCAATGTGTATATATATATATATATATATATATATATATATGTCAAATGGGCTTCTCCTAATCAGTTTTTTTACTGTTATTTTTCCCTTCACACAGATTTGAATTCTTTCTCCACATTTCAGGTAAAGTTTTACCTGTTTCAGAATTTGTTATTATATCATTCTACATGTGTTCATGCCATATCCTACTAATGTCTTCTTTTTTAACTTGCAGACTTGAGTTTCTTAATTTCTGCTTATTTATTTACTGTATATTTGTGAACTTGATAAATATTCTTTCTTCCAGAGACTTATCAACTTTGCACATGAATATTTTTACATTTCATTTCCACAGTCTATATTCATTAACAATATTGCACGGTGAATATTATAGAAAGAATTATCTGAATTCATACAAAATTTTCTCTCACTCTTTAATATAAATATATATATATATATATATATATATATATATATATATATAAATGATAAAAATATAATATCATGGTATGCTATATTTATGGGTTAAAGTGCTTAATATTATGGATAGAGTGTATATAAGTATAAAAGTAGATAGTGAAGTCAACACCCAACAGCAAAAGTCTGTTTCTTGCTTAAATTCAATTGATGGCCTGACAATTGTGTTTACACATGAAACTGACTTGCCATTGGGTATTGATTTCAATCCCTACTTTATATATATATATATATATATATATATATATATATATATATATATATATGGTAACAGCATTCATTGACAAAGTAGCCAGCACTTCTGGTGGTAGAAATTTATAAAATCTTTCGCTTAAACCAATATTTTTGGAAAATAGGTTTTTCAAGTTCAGTAACAGTTATCACTATTTCCATTACTGATAGGTGTTTCCTTCCTAACCTATTATTTGAAGTAGTGTGGAATGTCAACATCTTGACAGTTAATGCATGCAAAATATAATATCTAATTATATGCAATAAATGTGTAAGATATGAGACAACACTGAGTCATGAATAAGATTTTCATTCTTAACCAAGAATGAAAATGAAAGTGCAATTGAGTGAAATCCACATCTTGTCTTCAATTTAGAATAAGCATGCTTTAAACAAGATTAAAAGCTTAAACAAGATGAAAAGATTAAACAAGGTTGGCAGATTAAACAAGATTATAAATTTGTCTGAATTTTTGTGATGAGGAGTCCTCATTTTTTTGTTATTACCCCAATATTTCACCCATTGTGTTCTCCAGCCTTCCTGAGGTATATATCGATTTGGGTAACCTACAGGGAATTCTGAATTGAAACTTTTTATTTAATCTACAGGGATAGACTGTTCTTGTTCCACTGTCCATATGTAGGGATATCATCTATTTCTTATTTTTATTTATTACCACTCAGTGTAAGTACACACTGCCCAACCTAGAGATTGACTATATCACTATGTCACCAAATTCACTGACACACACATGCACACACACACACACACACACACACACACACACACTATATATATATATATATATATATAT